TTTCAGTGCATTTATATGTATATATTCCACTGTATTGCCACTGTTGGAATATCAACATTTTGGAATGTTCAGATAATATACATTCAAAATTTCAATCAACGCATCGTAAAAGTATGAAAAAATATGGCAGAGGCAGAAGAAAGGCCTTAAGTAAAAGATAGTGATGTGCTAAAAAATATGAAACAAATTTTTTAAACGAAAAGTATATAATATTATATATATATATATATATATATCTTATATATATTTTTGAACGTTATACTTTGGGTTTGTATACGGCATGAAGTTAAGTTTAATGGCAAATTAATAGTTTTATATACAATTTAGTTTAGAAATGTAATTATAAATTACTAACATTACTTTTAAATTGGTCTCGTAAAATGCTTCGTCCGCAATATACGAAATGTTGTTTCTAAAAAGCAAACTGTTAAAAAAAATAAATGAAGGGTGTTTTTTAAACTCACAATATACAAACAATTGGGTGAAATGAAAGAAAATATTTAATATCGTCATAGGCAGCATATCATGTAGTTTATTCAAAAACATTCAGTTTATTAGTAGTAGGCCTATACAACGACAACACTAGTATAGTGTATTATTTAGTTTATATTTAATAGGATTTATATAGCGCACATATCCATAAAACTGCTCAAGGCGCTTTTTCCTCTGGTAATTGTATACAGAATCAATCATAAACGCCGTGCAACCTCTTGCACTCCCTGGCGAGTATTCCTAGTTATGCCTGTAGTTAAGCAGTACTAGTTTCATTTTGAATGATTCACATCCTACCAGGTACTTTATACTCTTGGGTGGGTGAAAAGAGGCAAATGCAGATAAAGTGTCTTGCCCAAGGACACAAGTGATTAGGGGAAGCAATGGCAGCAGTAGCGGCTGTATGGTAGTAGTTAGTTATTGATCATCTTACATCATGTGCAGATTTTTCAGACCTCGGAAATTATCTCTTGAAATACTTTCGATTTTATTGTCAGACATGACAATAGTGTATGGTGTGTATTTCAGAACAGGTCCACTTCCAAGGAAAGATATTTCATTCGAATCTAAGTGACTGAGTAAGAGAATAAAGAATAAAGTTAGAGTTCTGTTTACGAATAAATTTTGTAGACCTTCGCAGTACTGTCTCAATACGTTCTAGAAGTTATTTATTGAGGAAACCACCGACAGGGACACCGTATTAAAGTATAGAAACAATCTCCCAATGATTTGAACTAAACTGGTCTGTATTCTTTTTCGATTGTGTAATGTGGAGAATTTTTTAGTTAATTTCCTTTTCATTTTAAATCACACTAAGTTGTGAGATTGTTTACGTCACTGAAAATGAAGTTAGCTATTAACTCAGAATATATATAGGCCTACATATATATATATATTTATACACTTTTATATATATATATAGACTTTATATATATATACTTTACATCTGAATTCTTTATATATACTTATATTAT